TAGGTCATTGCCTCCCCTAAAATGCCCCAACCATTGCAACCTGCTGTGTATCGAAAGAGATTTAAACACAGTTCAAGTTGAGTCCAAGATAACAAGGTGTAGACCTCTAGGCCCGAAGCGTCAGCCTTCCTGCTCCTCTAATGCTGCTTGGCTGCTGTGTTCATCCAGCTCTACACCTTGTTATCTCAGATTCTCCAGCATCTGCAGTTCCTACTATCTCTCAAGTTGAGTCCAGGTGCCTTTAAGTGGAACGACCTTTGTTTTTTCAGAAATGGCACCTGATGAGAGCCTTTGAAAATCTCCTTGTTCTAGATTTCCCACCTGAAGTTACAATATCCACCCTCTCTATGCCCTCATGATCTTGTACAAGTTAGCAAGTCCCGTCAAACCTTTGCAGTTCCAAGAAAACCGACTGGTGCCTATCCAATGTTGTCTCAGCTCAGACACACCAACCCATGCAGCATCCTGCAAAATCTCCTCCACACCGTCTGTAATGCTTCCTATAACATGACCAGAACTGCATGTAATATTCCACCTGTGGCCTAAACAGTATTTTGTACACGATTACAGCAATTAGGGATGGGCAATGAAAGCTGCCTAGCCAACAATGCCCTCATCCCATGATTGAATAAAGAAAAAAATCCCGAGAAGGGTAGATAGAAGATAGAGGAGGTGATGGCCTAGTGTCATTATTGCGAGACTATTTATACAGAAACTCAGCTAATATTGTGGGGATCTGGGTTCAAATTCCGCCACAGCAGATGATGGAATTTGAATTTATTAAAAAAGAAACTGGAATTGAGAGTCCAACGATGATCATGAAACCATTGTCAATTGTCAGAAAAAACATCTGGTTCACTAATATCCTTTCGGGAAGGCAGTCTGCCATCCGTACTTGGTTTGACCCACAGAAATATGGTTGACTCAACTGCTCTTTGGACGATTAGGGATGGACAATCAATATTGGCCTAACCAGCGACGGCCTCAGCCCATGAGTGAATTTTTTAAAAAAAGAGAGAAGGGAGCGGAGTACCTGGAGCAAGACAGCAGCACCTAATACAGCTGGCTGGTCCAGTCCAATTTGTGGCTCAGACTTGACTGACCTTGTTTTAAGAAACATCTATGCATGAAATCATGACAAAAGAGGTAGTTGAATGGTCAGCCATTCTCTGAGGGTTGTTAGTTTGTGAAATTTTCTTTCTTAGAAAATAGTAAATTTGAAGGTTGCATTTTGTTCCACAGTTCAAGCCACCTGGACTTATTTGCTGTTGTTTCCAGTGTACTAGTCCTTTTCTCAATTTTGTTTGGTTACCGTGACCTATAGCCCCCCTTCACTTCATATACTCCTCTATATTCCATCTGGAAATTCTGAATATGATTCAGGTGTAGGTGTAAGTGTAGGCCACTCAGTTCCTTCAGTCTATTTGGTCATTAATTAAAACAACCATGATCTTATGGAGAGCCTCCATCCACTTTCGTGTCGACCCCTAATAATATTTTTATCGCCTTGCTAAAGAAGAACCAAACTGACTCTGCTTTAAAAATATTAAAGGACTTTGCTTCCACCACCTTTTCAGGAAGTGAGTTTCAAAAACACTCAACTATCTGAAAGAAAATTTTGCCTCATCACTATTTTCAGACAGTGATCCCATAATTTTTGATTCTGCCACACAAAGAAACATTCTCTCCACAACTACCTTGTCAAATCTCTTTAGGATCTTATATTTCAATCAACTCACATTTTACCTAGCCTGTCCAATCCATCCTCCTACGACAACACCCTATTCAAGTAAACATTCCCTGAACTGCCTCCAACACGTTTACATCTATCTTTAAAGAAGGTGATGGATACTGTGCACTGTACTCCAGATGTGTTCTCACCAGTGCCTTGTATACTGAAGCTCAACCTTTTTGCATGCAATTCTGCTCACAATAAATGATAATATTCCATTTGTTTTCTTAATTACTTGCTTACCTGCTTACTAATCTTTTGTGTCTCCTGCACAAAGAAATCCAAGTTCCTCTGCATCTCATAGGAATCTTCGACCATGTAGATAACATGCTTTTTAAAATCCTTGCTGATGAATGGACAATTTTACATTTTCCCATATCATACTTCATTTGCTATATCTTTGCCCCTCAATCTGTTAGAATCTTCTTGTGTTCTCATCACAATATACTTTCCACCCAATATTTTTGTTGTCAGCAAATTTTGCAGCTATACCTTCCAGACCTTCATCTAAGACATTTTATATAAATTGAGGTCCCAGCACTGATCCCTGAAGCGCACCACTTATTAAACTTGCCAACCTAAAAAGATTCATTTATGCCTCTTCTCTGCTTTCTGTTAGGAATGCATATATTTTTTACAGCATGGAAAGAGACCCTCTGGCTCATCATGTCCATGCTTGTCATCAAGCATCCATCTATATTAATTCCATTTTTCAGCACTTGGCCCTTAGCTTTGTAGGCTAATATATTTCAAATGTTCATCTAAATAATTCTTAAATGACTAATTTAAAAATTACGGTGGCTTAGTGGTTAGCACTGCTGCCTCACAGTGCCAGGAACCCGTGTTCAATCCCACCCTCGGGCGACTGTCTGTGTGGAGTTTGCACATTCTCCCCATGTCTGCATGGGTTTCCTCCCACAGTCCAAAGATGTGCAGATTAGGTGGATTGGCCATGCTAAATTGCCTGTAATGTTCAGGGATGTGTAGATTAGGTAGGTTATAGGGGGATGGGTCTGGGTGGGATGCTCTGATGGTTGGTGTGGACTTGTTGGGCCGAAGGGCCTGTTTCCACACTGTAGGGATTCTATGATTCTATGACTTGAGGGTTCCCTTTTAGGCAATGACCCTGTGGGTAGAAAGGTTTTCATCAAATCCCCTCTAAACATCCAACTTATGTTAAAAATGGCCACTGGTATTGATCCCCAGTCCTTGAGGAGAAAATTCTCACTATCAACCCTGTCTATGCCCCTCAGAGCTTTGCACACCGCAATCAGACCCCTCCTCAGCATTCTCTGCTCCAAAGAAGGCAACTGAGTGTCTCTAATCTTTTTTCGTAGCTGAAACAATCTAGCACAGCTAACACTGTGTGAATCCCTTCTGCACCTCTCTTGTGCAGTTGTATCCTGTCTATTGTGTATCAACCAGAACTGCAGATAATACTCCAGCTGTGGCCTAAATAACATTATAAAAAGGCCTTGGCCCTGTATTCAATGCCTTGACTAATCAAGGCAAATTTTCCAAATGCCACCTTAACCACTTTGCCTATCTGTTGAGTTGCCTTGAAGGATCTATGGACATGCACACTATGGCTCCTCTGATCCTCTGTACTTCCAGGGTCCTACCATTCAACATCTACTCCCTTACCTTGTTAGTCCTCCCCAAATGTATTGCCTCACACTTTTCAGGATTAAATTCCATTTGCCACTATTCAGCCTATCTGACCAGCCCATCTATATTAACCATCTAGTCCAAGGCTTTCCTCCTTGCTATTTAGCACAACACCAGTTCTTAAGTCATCTATGAACCTACTGATCAAACCTTCTGTATTAGTATCTCGGTCATTAATATTCATTAAAAATCTACAGAGGATACTGCACCAAACTGCCACTGGACGCAGGCCTCCAAACAGAAAAGCACCCTTTGACCATCACTCTCTGCTTGCTGGCACTAAGCCAATTTTGGATCAAGTTTGTCCTGGATCCCATGAACTCTTAGCTTCTTAACCAGTCTGCCATGAAAGATATTATCAAATGACTTACTGAAGTCCACGTAGACTATATCAACTGCACTATCCTCATCAACATAACTAGTCACCTCCTTGAATCATTCAAATTTGTTAGACATGATCTCCCTCTCCCCTACAAAGCCATGTTGTCTATCCTTGAATAATCCTTGCCTCTCTACGTGAAGTTAAGTCTGTGTCTCAGAATTTTTTCTAATAGTTTTCCTACCTCAGACCTAGTTTCCTGGTTTATGCCTACCACCCTTATTAAAGAATGATACCATTAGAATGTTAGCCAGCCAATCCTCTATAAATGTCAATGTGATAACCCCTATAGTGTGAGCTTTTGTTTTCTGCAATAACCTTTGCTGTAACACTTTATCAAATGCCTTCCCAAAATCTAAGTATGGTTCATCCACCAGTTTCCATTGATCACTGCAAATTAACTCAAACATGGTAATATTCAGATTATTCCCAGTGTTTGCGAGTGCAGAATTTAGAAAGATGGACCAGCTGAAGAAATGTTGCAGATGGGAGAGCCTTAGACCCTGAACTGTTGGGACAAGTTTTGTGGCACATGTGATTTGTACAAATCACCAGTAGCAATCTGAAGCCAGTATCATGCACACCCACAAGCTGTTCAGCTATCCAGGTGCCAATGAGTCAATTGTTGTCAGGTGGATAGCCTTTGTCTCCCACAACTGGTCACAACTTCACAAACAAATCAGCAATCTGTGGTTAGCTTAATCTCACTTTACATACATCCTCTGGTGCTGGCCTGTCTACAAACAGCCACTGCTAGAAAAAAGCAGCAGTGTGAGCACAACTTGCAATAATTTTCGCGAATTTGCTTTTCAAAAGTGCAAGAATTTCTTCCACAATCATTGGTCCACAATTAAAACTATAGAGGCATGGTCTTTACAGTGTGTATGGATATATGATTTTTGTTTATGTACATCAATATTTGAAAGGGCAGTGAGCTGTAACTTCAAATCCTTTACTATCTTGTTAAAATATCAGTCCTTATCTTGCAAAACCACCCTAATCCAACTCCTGATCAACCCTTTCAGCATCCTGGACACCAGCCATAAATAGTATCAAACGGGATCTACCACAGAAAGCAAAAGGGTAAATTGTAAAGAGTAGATTTCCATGCTAAAGTGACTATGTGGAGAGATTTTAATATCAATTTTCCACTGTCTGAGTAGTCTGTTGCTTGCTGTTGGCTGCATTGATTTTGAATTTTCAAGTACTTTAATTTATTAGGTGACAGATGGGAAGCAGAAACAAAGAAAATTGTTGAAGCAGTGCTAAAGAAGCTGGAGGAAGTCCACCCGAATGATCCTAATGAAGGGAACTTGCTGCTTGCCCTCAAGTATGTATACCACAACATTGGATATCAACAGAAAGCAACACAATATTCGGAACTGCTTTTATGTGTCCAACACAATTATTTTAATCTACTTCTTAAAAATTCAGTCAGGTTTCATTTGGCTGATTCAGTTAGGTTCCACATTGGAAAACGTTGGTGCTGGATAGAGTTGATGTAGAGAAGATGTTTCCATAGAGTATGATAGATTGGGACTCAAGGGCACAGCCTCAGAATGAAGGGATGACCATTTAGAACTAAGGTGAGGATAAATTTCTTCAGTGGTGAATCTGTGAAACTCATTGTCACAGAAGGCCATGGAGGCCAAGTCATTAAGTGTATTTAAGAGAAAGATAGACAGGTTCTTGATTAGTAAGGGGATCAAAGATTTTGGGGAGAAGCCAGGAGAATGTGGTTAAGAAATACATCAACCATGATCAAATGATGAAGTGGACTCAATGGGTCGAATGACCTAATTCTGTTCCTGTGTCTTATGGCCTCTTCACTCCCTCCTTCAGGCATTACTTCAGCCAGTTTTTTTCCTTTGGGAGTGCTTGCAGTCAGAATATACCTCTTTAATAGGTGCAGGATACCTCTTAGTAATGATGTGAAACCCTGCTCCCAGACTAACCTTGCCATGCAAAGGCAGCCATGTTTGGTAACCTGGTAATTGATAAAATGTAATTTCACGAATAGAGGCATAGTAGGGGACCTGTGTGACCACACAACTGTCCAAGTGCCATGAACCTAATTATAACAGCTGCACCCACCATGATGGTCACTTGAGGTTTGCTGTTTCTTTAGCCCATCAACAAACAACTGGTGAAAGTTCTCACAACAGGAAGTGGCATGATCTCTTAAATGGAATTATGAGTCAAAAGTCACTCTACAGTTCTTAGAACGTGAAGTCAACACTCAGCCTGACGCTCTGAAAGTAAACAGCCAGCAAGCAACCCGCCTGAAGTCTTCAGCTATCACTCCAGACCATTAATTGGACTGTATTGAAAGCTTGCAGTTCTCTCTCTCCCACACATTCTCTCACTGGCTCCATTACCCTGTTCAGCAATGTGTTCACCTCGACTTCATTCCCTATCCTTCCTGACTACCATCTCGCTCCCTGACTTTTCCATCCTCACCCATATCACTCCCCTCCTTCCCTTCTCTCAAGTCTTTGCTCACTGGAAGGGTGATAGAAACAGTGAGCAGAAGAAATGGTTAGCAAAGTTGAAAGTGACAAGCTGGAGGTGAGTTGAGTTACTGAGTCATTAAGAATTAGTCAGGGAAGTCAGGAGCCAGTTAAACTAGTGATATAGTCATTCTGTTGCAGCTGGTTCTATAGACTTATTAAAAGAAGTTTGATCCTAGACATTTGGCACATTGAAATCAAAGGGGCATTTCTGAAGAATCTGTGAAAAAGTTTGGATTCCAAGCCCACATCTCCAAACAAAAATGTAAAGGTTCTTGCAGCTCTTTGTTTTGAGCTCGCCAAATTCAAAGCAAAGAGTTTTGTCTTGAGCCATTTGCACCAATTCAACTTTTTGTCTGTCAAATGACTAAAAAACAAACTACAACATAAACACTAAAAAATGCTTCTCTCATGTATGATAATGTTATGGACCTGTTACTGACCTTAAAACCTAGGGGTTAGAAGTTCAAATACCACCATTTAGTATAAAATTGAATCTGGTAAATCTTATAATTTGAGGATTAATATGTTACTGTGTCACCTTTGGGGGTGTGATTCTTTCCAAAGACTATTCCTACAGTAATTTTAGCAATATAACTATATTTGTTTGATTATTGTTTACTGCTTTTGTTTATTCTGGTGGTACACATCCACACATTCCCCTGAATCAGGTGAATATAACAAAATCCGTTCTGCATATGGTTGAAGAAAGTTGTCAGGTAATGCTGATTTTTGGACATCATCAGATTTCCAAGCCACCTTCTCTTATTTTTACATCCCATGCATGATTCTTTCACATTTTCTTTTTGTACCTCATTACTTACTTAGAAATTTTTTCAATGGCTGTCTCAGTCTGCTGGATTTCTACTTTCCCTTGAATTTTTAGAAATCTTGGCTTGATACTTCATACACTTTTCCCGTCTGTTTACTATAGTAACTTAATTGCACAAGTGGAGCTTCTGCATTTTGAGTTTTGTAGTAGTTCTGTATCATACCAAATGCTTCCTACTGACTGAATCACAAAGTGAGAAAAACATATTCGCACAATGAGCAGTTCGGGTCCTTGGAAGTGTGGTGGATGTAGGTTTAGTTGAGGCATTGAAGAAGATATTATGGTTGATTGTTTCTACTGAAATATGAAAAGGAAGAGAGAAGTCAAAATGAACATAGGCTCCTTAGAAAATGAATCTGAGGAGATTGTAATGTGAACAAGGGAATGTTAGAAAGAGACCATTTGGTCCATCGAGTCTTCACTGACCCTCTGAGGAACTCCCACTCCCACTTTTTCTTCCATATTTTTCTTTGTTGTTTAGCATTTTCAGCTTTCAAGTGTCTGGTCTTCATTTAGCAGCCCTGCTAAATTGTGAGAGCTTTATTCAGAGCATTATTGGGATGCATCAAACATGTCTAGGATTTGTATTGAAGCATATAAATCTGCCATGCATATTTCCTTTGTGATTTTTGGATCAAGCTAAAACATTTCTTTTCAGAAAAAAGATGCAACAGTTAAAGGAGAAATGTCTTCAGGAGAACATTTACATTGGGGTCTTTGGACAGTCAGGGGCTGGGAAAAGCTCCCTCGTGAATGCAGTTTTAAAGGAGCAGTCTCTGTTGCCCACATCATCGTCGGGAGCCTGCACATCAGCCATAATAAAGGTGCAATCTTACAGAAGTCGCAAGTTTAAAGCAGAGATTCAATTCCTCAGCGAGCAGGTAATAATCATCACAATAAGCAGGGACCCACTTCTGTTGCATCCTGTTAAGCTTTTATTTCTTGTCAGCCTTCAGTGCTTTCCACTCAATTCCCCCTCTTTAACACAGTGGGTTGAATGAGAAGGGGTGTGGACAGAGTGTGACTGGTAATATTCATACAGCTGAAGTGCCAGGCAATGACCAACAAGGGATCTAACCATTGCTCCTTCATGTCAAATTAATATCACTGTTAACTTCAGTGTCAACATTGTAGGAGTTATCATTGGTAACTGAACTGGATCAGCTAATTAAATATTGCTGCAAGAGCAGGTTCCAAGCTTAGAATTATATCATGAATAACCTAAGTCTTGTCTCCTCAAAGCCTGTCCACCATTGACAAGCGACAATTCAGCATATGATGAAAGACTCCACTTAACTGGATGAGTGCAGCTTCAACAACACTCGAAGCAAAGTCCACATTCTGTGAAATATTAATTGAAGTAGAAATTGGCTGCAGTCCTTTTTATCTTTGTTTCAGAAATGTGCTTAATGCAAAGCTATCAAATGTGAAAGGAACAAATACTAAGTTTACTTAAAATGTGATTATGGTAGAATAAGTTACAACGGACCAGGGGATATTGGCGAACAGAGGGTTATATTTGGGAAGTAGGGTTGTTTGGAGCTTGCAGTCAGGAGAGATCAGGGGATGAGGATGTGATCAGTAGTTGGGAAGAGCTCAGAAAACTTAGATCAGAGAGAGATTAGGGTTTTGGGGAGACATCAGAGGCCAGTGAGGGATTGTATATAGGGAGAATGATTGGAAATTGGAAATAAATATTGGGATTAGGAGGGTCAGGGAACAGTCTTGAGTTGGAGGTTTGTGTTTGGTTGGTAAGAAGAATGGAGGGATGTTGATTGTGGCTATTTAACTGGGAAGATTGGGGTGAAATAGTCCTGTTTCCCTCCCTTTCTCCATAGATAGGGCTGGAAAGGCATTGACAAGCGCAATGCCCTCCCCAATCTACTGGGTTTTCTCGAAACTAGCCTCACAGTCAATAGATGTAAAACTAGTTAAATTTAAGATGCGCAACGTTATACATATTTAACACACGTAAATGACTCACATGGCCCTAGAGAGATAACATATTTAATGACTTTGTTTTGTTATTTTGTCTCCCACCCTCATCCTGACTCTTAAAATGGCATGTTGAAGGCTGTTTTGGGGTTGGACACCTAGTTTTTGAAATGTTAGCTCCACTTCCTTATGCCCCTCACCTCTGTGTCTTGGGGATATAAATTACCGTGATTGTTTGAGGTATAAAGGCATGAAATAGAACTGACTTTAAAGTTTTTGAGAAGATTTGTAGCTCTGGTTGTGGATGAGGTTGTAGACTTGCTTGCCGAACCGATATATAGATGTTTTGTCACTCTGCTAGGTAACATCGTCAGTGCACCTCCGGTGAAGCATTGGTGTTCTGTCCCGCTTCTTATTTATATGCCTTGGTTTTCTGGGGTGGTTGGCATCACTTCTGTTTCTGTTTTTCAGTGGTTTGTATATTGGGTCCAGTTCAATGTGTTTGTTGATGGAGTTCCGGTTGGAATGCCAGGCCTCCAGGAATTGCCTGGCATGTCTCTGTTTGGCTTGTGCTATTATGGATGCGTTATCCCTGTCGAATTCATGTCCTTCTTTATCTGTATGTATTGAGACCAGTGAGAATTGGTTGTGTTCCTTGGTGGCTAGTTGGTGTTCATGTATCCTTATTGTCAGTTTTCATCCAGTTTGGCCTATGTAATGGTTCTCACAGTCCCTGCATGGTATTTTGTATATAACGTTAGTTCTATTGGTTGTAGGTATGGGGTGCTTTAGTTCATCAGTAGCTGTCACAGGGTGGTTGTTGGTTTGTGGGCTACCCTGATACCTAGGAGTCTGAGTAGTCTTGTGGTCATCTCTGATGTATGGTAGGGTGATTAGTGTGTCTGACCATGTTGTGTCTTCTTGCTGTGGTCTGTCACAGAGGATTGTGCTTTTTGGGTACTCATTCCTTTTAAAAACTCCATATAAGTGCTCCTGTTCTGCTTTGCGCAATTCCAGGTTGCTGCAGTGTGTTGTGGCTTGTTTGAATAATGTCCAGCTTCGTTTATGGGTGATGGGGCGGTTGCTGGTTTAATTAAATATCTGGTCTGTGTGTGTGGTCTTTCTGTATATGCTAGTCTGGAGTTCCCTGTTGTTCTCATGTTCCACCGTTACGTCTAGGAAGAGGAGTCAATTATTGTTCTCTTCTTCTTTTGTGAATTTTATTCCGGTGAGGATGTTGTTTGTGTCGGTGGGTTTCTTCTAGTCTTGTGTGTTTGATAATCACGACGGTGTCATCCCCATATCGGACCCAGAGTTTGGGTAGTATAGTGGGGAGCACTGGCTGTTCTGACCTTTGCATTATTGCTTCTGCAATTAGTCCTGATATTGGGGATCCCACTGGTGTTCCATTGATTTGTTTGAATAAACAGCCATTGAAGGTGAAGTGGGTTGTGAGACACAGATCCAACAGATCCAAACCGCAAAAAAACAGAACTGGAAGTGATGACAACCACTCCAGCAAACCGAGGCATAAAAATAATAAGCGGGACAGATCATCGATGCTTCACCGGAGGCGCACTGACAATGTTACCTAGCAGGGTGATGAAACATCTGCAACAAAACCCACCGCCTCAGCGAGCATGTCTACAACCTCATAGAGGTTTCTCTATTGGGGGTGGTAAAGTAAATTTAAATTAAAACATGAGTTGGTTAACCTTACAGAATGCTGTAGTCAGCTTTTATACAAATGCTGTCAGCTTTTATTTCAGTCTTTTAATATTTGGGTTTTGTAGTTAGACCTTGGAAATATTAAATCAACTGTTGATCTCTGTTGAATGATTTTCGTATGATGGAGTTAGACAAACCTTGGTTAGATGTTACTGGTTGGTACTTGGATGTTCTGTGAAGGTACAGGCATTTTCTTTTGCCAGTTAGCAAGTTTGTGATCCTGTGCCAAAGGTCCATGATTGGGGAACATCTTATACATGAAGATTAATTGAAATTTGACATGGAAATCTGAACTAGAAATGATTCATATTACAGGACTGGAATGATGAATTGAAGCTTCTTGTTGAGCTTTGTGAGAAGGAGGACAATGATGATGAAGTTGATGATGAAGATGATAAGGATGTTGAAATGGCAAAGAAGAAACTGCAAACTATGTATCAAGATTATGGACCAGAGAAAAGCTATGAGGAGCTAATAAAGATGAACGTTTATCAAGATATCCCCAAAAGTGGCAAAAAGATTTTTTCTGAGGACACTGTGAGTATTAACTGAGATATGGAGTTCAAAAGGAAACAGTAAGTTCATCATTATACAGTTTTATTTTCATTAAGTGAGCATTGCATTTAGTGAACCATAATGGACTCCTCCAGTTGAACACTTCTGTGATTTGACCACGGATCTCAGTAAACACAGCAGTCACTAGACTTGTTCACACCTTCCTATACTTGAGGCTAAATTTCTATCCCAAACGTTTCCAATACCACCACGAAACAGTTGAAACGCTTACAATTCCCAGCACAGTTTTGATTGCAGTCTGGCTCAGGCTGATCGGACTTCATCCTTCTTCCGTGTGCAATAAATTTTGTCCACTCTTTTTATTTTGAGTTATACCACAATATCACAACCACATTTCCTGTTGAAATCCTGTTGAATTGCACAAAATGTAGTGCCTTTTATCTTCAGTTTATTCCATGGCCTGAGCTAAGACGACCACAGTAGAAAACCATTCACCCAGTGGTGAGGAATTCCTAGCTTCAAAGTTGATGTGAATGTAAATGTTTTTCTCTTGACTGGAATGAATGGTGGCTCTCTTTGGAGCTATTGTTTATGATAAATGAATTCTCAATTTCTTAATTGAATTACATGATATCCTGTAGGACTGTTTATGATCCAGTCCTTTAACTCTATCAGATAATGGCAGTAACCTGGTGCCATTGTTACAATAATGTTCTATTATTCAGACTCTTAACTGTATCTGTACTTCTGCAGTGTTTGAATTATCCCTTACAACAGTTACCCACCTCTCTGTGTGTTTGCGCTGAGGATTAATTTTTATTTTACAGTACCAATATCTGCAGGTTTTGGCATTTTTGTATTTTGTAAATTTCCCAGTTGAAGGTGTTATGATCCCAACTGATGATAATACTGGATGAATCAGATCCCAAAATGAAATTTGGCTTGATTCTTTGTTAGTTAACATGCTGATCAATCACTAATACATAGTAATGTGGGCCTGTGCAGTTTCTGTAACAACAGATCAGTTTAGTATTTGAAAGAAGAAAATAAAAAATAAATATAGTTTGAAACCTCTTAAAACACGTAGAAAATGAAAGGTTCAATCTGGTTACCGGAGACTTTCATCCAGAGAAATTGCCAAATCTTTAAATTCAACTTTGTTGATTCACCAAGTTTCTTTTCTGTGAATTGGGATGACAAGTGACAAGGAACATTCCAGCCATACAAATACCAGGTAATGACTTTCTCCAAAAGCAGACGATCTAACCACTGTCCCTTGACATTCAATGGTGTTACCATCACAGAATCCTCCATTATCAATATCCTTGGGGTTACATTGACCAGAAGTTCAACTGGACTCACTTTTTAAACACAGAGGCTACAAGAACAGGTTAGAGGCTAGGAATGCTGTGACAAGTAACTCACCTCCTGACTCCACAAAACCTGTCCACCATCTACAAGGCACAAGTCAGGAGTGTGATGGAATACTCCCCACTTGCCTGGATGGGTGCAGCGCCAACAACACTCAAGAAGCTTGACACCATCCAGGACAAAGCACGGTGGCTCAGTGGTTCGCACTGCTGCCTCACAGCTCCAGGGACCCGGGTTTGATTCCAGCCTCGGGCGACTGTCTGTGTGGAGTTTGCACATTCTACCCGTGTCTGCGTGGGTTTCCTCCGGGTGTTCCGGTTTCCTCCCACAGTCCAAAGATGTGCAGGTTAGGTGGATTGGCGATGCTAAATTGCCCATAGGGATGTGTAGATTAGGTGGGTTATAGGGGGATGGGTCTGGGTGGGATGCTCAGAGGTTCGGTGTGGACTTGTTGGGCCGAAGGGCCTGTTTCCACACTGTAGGGATTCTATGAAAGATAAAGTATTTGCTGAGAAATGAGAAAAGGGCTGTGGTCCTAGCAAACTGGAAGTTAGTAAATTTAACGTTGTTATTCAGAAAGGAGGGAGATGGGCAAACAAACAGAAAATTTCAGGCCAGTTAGCCTGACGTAAGTCTTCAAGAAAATGTTGGAATCTGACAAGGAAGTCTTAGCAATGCACATTTGTTTCATGAAATAAAAGTCACGCTTGTCAAACTTAATGAGAATGTAACTAGTAGTATAGATGGAGTTGGGGGGAGAAATGGGCAGAGTGTACTTGAGTTTCAAATCAAATAAGGTATCACACCTAGTCTAATATGTATCAGAGAGCAGTGTACCCCTAGAATGTTAATAGAAAATTGTAGAGAAAATATTGAAGGCCATTAACTTGCTTTTAGTTCAGAATAAACAAGAACCTGTTATGAAGTTGGGTTGGAAGGCAGGAAGTTAGAATGGTTGGCTAAAAAGAATGATAGTGAGGAAAAAGAGTGCTTTGTCTGCGCTTGGAAGTTTACAAGTACTGTGCACAGAGAGTGCCCGAACTGAAACATTTTGTATTGACAGCCAAAGTAGCATTTTATTGAGATAACAAGTTTGAATTTAGCCAATAAATTTAAACCAAGTACTCAGTGATTCAAAGCCAGTTGAATTTAAAAACTGATGGTGTTGACAACATCGAACCAATCCTACATAAGAAATACTAGTATGTAATTAAGGATATAAAGATGAGGGCATTTGGAAAATCAGGAAAGAGACAACTGGCAAATTTCAGCTGCAGCACAAGCAAGTCCGCCATCTGAGATACAAACCTGGCTTTCACATAAAATTATTGAGCTCTCTGAAAAGACCCATCAAAGGTATCATGACATTTTAGCTCAAAGTTCTCACTGAAGAAATTAAACAGAAAAGCCTGATATCATTATTGACTATTAAACCTTTGATTTACCTACAGCACACATGCCTGTATTCCATGTTGAATTGCAGTGTCACTGTTACTCCTTATTTTCATGGGTCATCAGCTTCACATTCAGAATTGTTTTACAGTTGTCAGCTTTTATTAGTTGGGTTTGCTGTCTCATTCTCTAATCCTCAGCTGTGTGTTGGTTACCAATGTGGAGAAACTAACTAAAATCAGAGCTTGCTAGCCTGGAATGCAGGTACGTCTCTCAACACAATTAGGAATTATCCGGATAGGATTCAATAACCTGGTGAGGAGAAGCACAGCCTTGGTTTCAATCACTTAAGTATACTAATGAGTTTAGCTGGCTGGTTGTGAAATCAACTCACTTCTATTTTTACATTCCTGGACTTTGTTCATTATACCCAAGGAAATCCTGTTTACTCCTCTTTCTCACAGAAGGATGGTCATGAATTCACAGCTGATAGATATACTTTTCAGATCTCAGTGGACAAGTGTGAATATAGAGCTGTTGGAAGTGAGTGCAGCATTGACCTGAAAATGACGTGAACAGTGTCGCAGGGGATCACCGTTGTTGGCAATCACTCGCTAACCGATATGATTATCCACCTAGGAAATTCCATTGTTACTGATCATAGCTTCTGTGGGTCCATGCATGGTTAATGAGCCCAATCCTAGAGCTGCATCTCTGACCACACATTTGGCAGGTGTTTCTGGGCATTGGAATTGGTCATTGGCCTTGATGATTGGCATTCCTTTCTTTGGTTCCTTTTCCTCTTGCCAGTCGGTGTTCTCAAAAAAATTCACCCCTTCATACAGGAGGTTCCTCCACATTGATTTCTTCTGAACAAGGGTCTCCCACGCATTGATGCCTGTGTTCATTTCTTGAGGTAAGCCTCAAGGAGTCTTTGCATAGTTCCTTGGCCCACCTCTCGTTTGGGTGACTTTCTTGAGCTCGGCCAGGAAGATTTGCTTTGGCGGTCAGAGTGTCCATACATGTCGCTAGCCCAGTGGAGTTGGTTTCAGATGATCATGGCCTCAGTGCTGGTGCTGTTAGCTGCTTCAAGGACGTTGATGTTATCCATCTGTCCTCCTATCTGATGTAGAGAGTCCAAGCCAGTCAACATTGATGGTACTGCTCAAAAGTCTTGACGTGGCACCTGTATGTAGTCTACATTTCAGAGCTACATAAAAGAGCCTGAAGGATGGCTGCTTTGTACACTAGGATCTTCGTATTAGCACAGATGTCATGGTCATCGAAGATTCTCATCCTTAGGCATTTGAAGATTGGTGTTCACAAATTGGATGCAATGTTGAATCTCTGCATCCATGTCAGCCTTAGATAGAGGTAGTTTGCCAAGTGGGGGGTAATGTTTCATGTTTGGGAGGATTTTTCCATTGATCTTAATAGAGGGATGGACTGGAACTTGACCTGGGACAGGTTGCTAAAAGATTTGAGTCTTCTTGAGTTTGAAACTGAGACCAAATCTTCAGTATGCTTGCGCAAAGACATTAATGGAGGCTTGAAGATTTTCTGAGAGAACAAAGATGGCATTGTTATTCAATGAGAACGGACATGTTGTTTTCTTCTCTGATTTCAAACAGCTGAGGTTGAAAAGTGTTTACAGGATAGACAGAAAAATATTCTACCACAGGGAAGTTTGTTCTTGACAAGATGAAGATAGAGAAAAGGTAGGGGCAGTGACACATCCCTCATTGATCTCTAACTTGACCTCCAAAAGATTCTATTATGTTACTGCCAACAAGGACTGCTGCCAATATCTTTTCGTGGAGGAGGTTAATGAATTTTCCTGGACAGGTAGCCTTTGACAAGGTTTTCCATAGCACTTCTCAATTGACTGAGCCAAAAGCCTTAGTCAGATCGATGAAGGCCATGAAATGTGGCTGGTGTTTTCCCTGGCATTTCTTTTGGAGTTGCCAAGCAATGAAAATCATTCCATAGTCCCAAGGTTTGATTGAGAGACATATTAGCTTTCAGGAAGGATTTCCTCTGAGATTGGATGACAATAGCTATTCTGAGGATTTGGGCAATGATCTTTCCAGTCTTGGACATTCCTTGGGAGTTGCCACAGTCCGCTTTGTCTCCTTTCTTGAAGAAGTTGATGATGGCAGCATTCCTAAGATTGGCAGGGGTTTCTTCTATGTCCCAGATTTTCAGAAACAGTTGATGGAGATGATGGATAATCTGTGCTTCTCCTAAGTTTGAAAATCTCTGCTAGAATCCCATCTATTCATGCAGTTTTTCCATTCTTCATGTGTCTAATGGAAGCTTCAACTTCTGCCACACTAGGTGGAAGTTAAGGGGATTTCCTCAAACACTTCCTCATCGGTGATTGTTTTGCTGTTTAGGAGTTCTTTGAAGTGTTCTCTCCAACGGAGGCTGATGTTTTCTCCATCTCTCAAAAGGATGCTATCTCTACTCCACGCAGGTTTGAGGCCAAGTATGTTAGGTCCGTACATTACTTTGGCACTGAAAAAAACACCAGGTGTTGTGCTTATCAGCAAAAGCTTACAGCTCCATAGCTTTCTCAGTCCACCATCCATTATGATTTTCCTAGTTCTTCTTTGTAACTTCGCCTTTGTTGTTTGAGTTCTCTTTGCCTTGCAGTTGCACATCAGCAGACAGAAGGTCCTTGATAGAAGGTAGATTTATTCCCAGTGGCAAGGAAACCTTGACAACTGGAGGTCTTCCTACTGCTGTAGCCTTCGCTTGCCACTGCAGCTGTTGATACGTACAAGTATCTTCCACTTGGGTCACCATTGAGGACTTGGTTTGGATTGCAGTTTGCCTGGTTCCTCCCCTCCAACCTTGCCATCATAGGTGACCCCACCAGGAGTTGCAAACTTCTGACAGTCTTGATCTCAGGATCAAAGAAATATTCAAGCCTCTCCACCGAGCAAGATGACAATCTGTTGAAAGGCTTAGGGGATATGATCCAATGCAAGCTACATGGTTTCAGAGCAACTATTTAGAAACATTGAAAAAATGATGGGCTGGATTTTAGACTCAACAGACCGGGGAATCACCTATTTACATCTACTCTGTCTCCTTGAAGAAATGCATACGTTTCTATCAGATCACCTCTCATTCTTCGAAACTCCAGAGAATACAGATACAGTTCCCTCCAGTCTCTCCTCACTCAACCGTCCCACCATTTCAGGAATCAGTCTGGTGAACAACCATTGCACTCCTTCTATGGTAAGTATGTCCCTTCGTAGAAAAGGAGACCAAAACTGTTACAATACTCCCAGATGTGGCATCACCAAGGTTCTGTGTAATTGCAGCAAAATACTTTTATTCCTGTATTCAAATCCCCTTGGACCGAAGGCCAATACACCATTAGCATTCCAAATTGCTTGCTGCACCTTTACATCCACTTTCAGTGATTCATGAATGAGGACATCCAGATCCCTTTGGACGCCAACAATTCCCACTCTCTCATCATTTAAGAAATACTCTGTATTTCTATTTTTTTTCTACCAAGGTAGATAACTTCACATTAAATTCCATCTGTCATATTTTTGGCAATTTACTTAGCCTATCCAAGTATCTTTAAAGTTTTCTTGTGCCTTGGATCATCAGCAAATTTAGAAATGTTCCAAAAAAAATGCTTGGGGAGCCTACAGCCTTCAGGACTCAATATCGAGTTCCATAAATGTTCCATGGTAGAACACCTTCTACCATGTCCTCATCTCAAACCCCACACAACAGACCTTGTGCTCATATGGGCTGCTACCACAACAACCCATTGTCAGCCAGTAATGGTCCCCATTAGTATCTATTGATTCCCTAAGCTGACCTTTTATTCATTCCTTTGTCTATCAAACCGTTTTGTTCTCTCTGTCTGGGCTCCCTTTCTGCCTAGCATTTACTCCTCCCCCTCGCTCCACCCCATCTGGAGCATTTGTATCAACCTTTGGGGTGGCACGATGGCTCAGTCGTTAGCACTGCTGCTTCACAGCACCAGGAACCTGGGTTTGAATCCAGCCTTAGGCAACTGTCTGTGTGGAGTTTGCACATTCTCCCCGTGTCTGCGTAGGTTTCCTCTGGGTGCTCCGGTTTCCCCTCTCAGTGCAAAGATGCACAGGTTAGGTGGATTGGCCATGCTAAATTGTCCATAGTGTCCAGGGATGTGAAGGCTAGGTGGATTAGCCATGGGAAATGCAGAGTTACAGGGATAGGGTGGAGGGAGTGATCTGGGTTGGATGCTCCTCTTCGGAGGGTCAGGTGAACTTGATGAGCTGAATGGTCTGCTCCCACACTGTAGGGATTCTATGATTTTCCTACTTACAATCAGCTCTCCACAAATGCTACCAGATCTGTTGAGTTTTCCAGAAATGTTTGTTTTTGGGGTGTTAGAAATATTCACTTCGTCCCCACAATCATAGATTGTGATCAGCTGTCTCCCAATGTGATAATTAGTTGAATACCTAGAATAGCAAACATAATTAATGTGCTTATCAAGAGAAGGTGGAATCCGGAATTTTTAAACCTGAACTGACAATCTTAGATTTCAGTGAACTTCTTCCTAAGCCTGTCTCTTCATGCTGAGAGCTGTCTTTTCTATTTCTTTTGATTATCTTTGTTGACAAAGTCATTTTGAACCTATACTGCCTAAAGAATAACATACAACATATTCAGACCACTGGCTAGTTGCTGTAAAGTTGAAGGATATGTTCGTACCAATACAAGAGCCTCCTCATCTCTGTCCTTTCTGGTAGTGTCCATATCAGCTTGCTAAGTGGCTAATCAACAACCTGGCATTTGCTCAATGCTGGAGGCATTAACAATTTTCCTGTAATTAAGACATGTTAGGGTGGAATTCAATTTGAAACTGCAAACAGCTTTCGATTGGGTGGGGTTTGTGTGAAACAGCTGTATGTTACCACAAACTTGTAATCTATTCACTTCTGAATTGAAGAGCGGGTTGGGGCAGGTGTTCTCTCCATGGAGCTAACTTGATAGTTTACATTCTAATGAGGTTCCAAACCTTCCCTGTGTTTCCTGTTTGAGGTTTACTCTGGCTGTATTTCCTCAACTGTGCTGGCTTAGCTATCAGAATAGGCAGCTTAATTCTTGCATGGGTCATTAACCTTACTGGAAAGGCCAGCATAATTTATCTATCCTGATTACCCTTGAACTGGTCAGCTCTCTAGGCCTCTTCTGAGAGCAGTTAACAGTCAGCCACACTATTGTAGGCCAGACAATGTGAGGAAGGTAGATTTCCTTCTCTCAAGGACATCAGTGGACCAGGTGAGTATTTACAACAGAGATAACAAGGTGTAGAGCTGGATGCACAGCAGGCCAAGCAGCATCAGAGGAGCAGGAAAGTTGACGTTTCGGGCCTAGACCTCCTTCCTACTATCTCTGAGTATTTATAACAGTTGATTACGGTTTCATGATCACCATTAGATTAATTTTTAATTCCAGATTTATTATCTGAAGTCATATTTCACCACCTGCCATGGTGAGATTTGAACTCCTGTCCCTAGAGCATTAGCTGGGTCTCAGGGTCAGCAATCCAGTGACAACTCAACTCTGCACACTCTGAGACTTGCTGGCTTTCTTTAGGTCACCTACCTGACCGGAATAAGGCTGTCTGTTAAGCTGGGCTGTGAGTAGGGAAACTGCCAGTGGTGTCGCACCTACACTTCATTTGCCCATTACTCCCACACATAGCCCTGCAGCCTCAGTTCCATTCTCAGCAGTTTAATAAATTAATAAATGCACAGACCCTTTTGTTTCATTTTGTGATTGCTTGTTTGTTTGGTTCTTTACCAGGCACAAGGGTTATCCATGAAGTTAGACCCTTATATTCGGAGCCGATCCTTTCAAACATCCAAAGCATACTGGCCACTTGTGAAATCAATCTCTGTTTATATCCCCAAGTGTCAAATACTGCCCGATGGAGTAGTTCTTGTTGACCTTCCAGGATCAGGCGACAGCAACAAAGCAAGAGATGAAATGTGGAAAACGGTAAGCAGATGTTGCACCCAGCATCATTGACTGTATAACTGACTAAATTACACACAGTTGAACAAAATACAAAGCCCACAGTTCAGTAGGTGACTGTGTGTAATGACATAAATACTGTATCAGGGTGAAAAGACACACTCCAATTGTATAAGAGTGAACTGATGCAGAGTAACTGTATCTTTGTCAATAGTCTCGTAGGATTGAGTTTAATGCCCCTGCCTCTGGGAGGGGCACAGAGACCAAAACTGATAGTGTTTCTTGAGGGATAAAAACAAAGTTGCTGGAAAAGCTCAGCAGGTCCGGCAGCATCTGTGAAGGAGAAAGCAGAGTTAACATTTCGGGTCCGGTGACCCTTCCTCGGAACTGGTGGTGGCTGGGAAAACGTCAGTTTATATGCAGAAAATAGGGAGGTGGGTGGGGTAGGGAGTAAACGATAGGATAGAGCCCAAAGAGAGAGAAAGACAGTTGACAAATAAAGGAGTTGCTAACAATCAGGCTGGGAGGGTGAATAGTTGTTAATGGGGACTGTTAGTGATTAACAACAGGGGGTGTGTAATGACAGGCTATGTGGTAACAAGGCCTGGTGTGTGGGGTAGGGGGCTGGGACATGGGAGAGTTTAGGCCCTAAAATTATTGAACTCAGTGTTGAGTCCAGAGGGCTATAGGGTCCCCAAGCGGAAAATGAGGTGTTGTTCCTCCAGCTTGCATTGGGCTTCACTGGAACACTGCAGCAAGTGTTTCTTGAGGGATAGTAGGAACTGCAGATGCTGGAGAATCCGAGACAACAAGGTGCAGGGCTGGATGAACACAGCAGGCCAAGCAGCATCATAGGAGCAGAGAGGCTGACGTTTCGGGCCTAGACCCTTCATCAGAAAAGGGGGAGGGGAAGGGGGTTTTGAAATAAATAGGGAGAGAGTGGGAGGCGGATAGAAGAGGGATAGAGGAGAGGATAGGTGGAGAGGAAACAAACAGGTCGAAGAGGCGGGGATGGGGCCAGGAAAGGTGAGTGTAGGTAGGGAGTTAGGAAGGGGATAGGTCAGTCCAGGGAGGACGGACAGGTCAAGGGGGCGGGATGAGGTTGGTCGGTAGGAGATGGAGGTGCGGCTTGAGGTGGGAGGAGGGGATAGGTGGGAGGAAGAACAGGTTAGGGAGGCAGGGACGAGCTGGACTGGTTTTGGGATGCGGTAGGGGGAGGGGAGATTTTGAAACTTGTGAAATCCACATTGATACCATTGGGCTGCAGGGTTCCCAAGCGGAATATGAGTTGCTGTTCCTGCAACCTTCGGGTGGCATCGTTGTGGCACTGCAGGAGGCCCAGGATGGACATGTCGTCTGAGGAATGGGAGGGGGAGTTGAAATGGTTCGCGACTGGGAGGTGCAGTTGTTTGTTGCGAACCGAGCGTAAGTGTTCTGCAAAGCGGTCCCCGAGTCTCCGCTTGGTTTCCCCGATGTAGAGGAAGCCACACCGGGTACAGCGGATGCAGTATACCACATTGGCAGATGTGCAGGTGAACATCTGCTTGATGTGGAAAGTCTTCTTGGGGCCTGGGATGGGGGTGAGGGAGGAGGTATGGGGGCAGGTGTAGCACTTCCTGCGGTTGCTAACTCCCTACCTACACTCACCTTTCCTGGCCCCATCCCCGCCTCTTCGACCTGTTTGTTTCCTCTCCTCTATCCCTCTTCTATCCGCCTCCCACTCTCTCCCTATTTATTTCAAAACCCCCTTCCCCTCCCCCTTTTCTGATGAAGGGTCTAGGCCCGAAACGTCAGCCTCTCTGCTCCTATGATGCTGCTTGGCCTGCTGTGTTCATCCAGCCCTGCACCTTGTTGTCTCTGTTTCTTGAGGGACCTGTTTTCACCAGCAAATTTCTATTAGGTGTGAGAGACCCAACAAAATGAGACCATCCTGCCACCAGTGCTTCTGAAACGAGATGTTGGCTTTCATATGAAGCCAAATTTGAGAGGCTCCCAACATAATGTTGCCTCGGCCTGCTACCTTTTCAATAGTGACAGAATGAGGACCTTAAGTATCCATTTTCGACTCTGACCACTGTGGGTTTGGATAGGTGAGAGAGGACAGGAAGGTGACCACCATTCCACTCGACCCATCTCCAGCCCTCCCAGAGGTGGGGGCATTAACCTCAACCCTACATGACAACTGACAATGATACTGTTACTCTGCATCATCTGATACCATTAGACTATGTCTTTTCATCCTGATAAAGGTACTATGGGCAGAATCTTCCACTGGGCCTCAAGGCATGAAGTGACCTGGATTATTTGAGGCAGTGGCACCTAAGACCCTTGTCAGCTTCCTGCCTCCACCTGATTTTGGTTCTGGTCAGGAAGACCACGCCTTAAACTGTCAATTAATAACTGGTTAGGGATGACCTAAGACCCTAGTCATTCCTAGGCTAAATTCCTGGCAGCTCCAGGTACAGACAAAAATACGGCTGCCCATCTGACTGATAAACCAGTGTGAGAGGCCTATCGGTTGGCATAGAGGGGACATTAAAAGCTGTTCCCTTGATTCTGACCTCTCTGTATCCTAACACTGCCCCCCCCCACCAACCCACAAAGAAACCTGACCCTCCACAAAGCATTTTCTCAACAGCTTAGTCCTTGCAACCTTGCTTTTTCCTTCTGGCATCATCAGACTTGGCCTTCTCCACAGCACTGCTGAGTCCAAGAGCTGTTCACCTCTGGTTTTTCGGCTTCACGCAGTAGGACTTCTGCTCCAGAGCTTGATAACAGAGGAAAGCCCAGTACAGCTCTTCTAATGACCCAATTGGAAGATGCTACTCTTGGCCTTCCTCTGAGAATTGGAGAGTTGGTGCCTCACCAGTTTTACAGAAAATGAGGGAGACACTTGATGAAAGTGAAAGATTCTATCCTGTGTTACTGTACACGATGATATCGAGACAGTTACTGTGCATGGTTATAAAGAGACTGCAGGATTGTCTACGGCGCTTTGATGATTTTATATATCTTTTTAACTTATGACTATAGATGTTGATACTATTGATTTTAACATTTGTGCTTCTTTCATCCATTCTTGTGTGTTTTGCAGGATTTTAGTAACTGCTCATCTGTCTGGATTGTGTCAGCGATTTCTAGGGCTGTTGATGAAAAAATAGCGCATGATATTTTTGGTACAACTATAAAATGTGCTACAAATGGAGGAAGATGTCATGACATTGCTTTCATCTGTACAAAGACAGATGATATAGAGTGGCAAGAATATGCAAGGTCTGTGCAATTATCGAAAATATACTGATGTTAAAGTTACATCTATCACCTGATAATGGAACACTTCTCCCACTGTTGTGCTGCTTATAGTGCATCACAGGCTTTAGAAATAACAATCTGAATTTAATTCTCGTGTCAGAGGCATATAAAACATTTTGTTCAAGCAACTTAACTGGAATACTGTCCCATTACACTTTTGCTTACGGAAAATAAACCCTTCACAGCCCCTTGCAAAAGATAGGTAGGGGAATTTAATATCATTACAGACTCCCAGTCTGATAACATCAGGGACACTTTGACGTAAACTTCACCTTGAAGTGACAGGATTTCCAAGTTGTGAAGCCAGTTCGGACTTACAGTCATCCCAGATCCAATCCCAATCCTGAATCTTCCTGTTACTTGCTGAGCCTCATTCTTCCATCTCTATGCTTTGATTCTCTCCATCTCTAATCCCTCACAACTCTGACCAAGATCCCCTTTGACTTTAAAGCCCAACCAAGACAAAGCAGTCCTGCTTGAACAACATCCAATCCACCACCTTCAGCATTTACTCCTTTCACTCCTGTTATCAGTGTATGCCAATCGTCACCAAATCTCCTTCAACAGCACCTCCTAAAACATAAGATGTAGGAGTAGAAGTAGACCATATGACTCATCAAGTCTGCTCCACCATTGAATGAAATCATGCCTTATCTGATAATCCTCAACTTCACATTCCTGCCCTTTTCAATATCCTTTAATTCCCTGAATGATTAAAAATCTTATCTATCTTGAATAAACTTGACAACACATCCTTGATGGCACTCTGTGGTAAAGAATGCCAAAGATTCACTACCCTTTGACAGAAGAAATTCCTCCTCATCTCTGTTTTTCACTGAGTGAAAACAGAGTCCTCAACTCTCCACAAGAGGAAACAGCTTCTCCACATCTACCTGTCATGAGTCCTAAAAACCTTGAATGTTTCAAGAAGGTCCCCTCCCATTTATTAAACTCCGATGCATACAGGCCCGATCTACTCAACCTCTCTTCATAAGAAATCCTGTCACACCTGGCATCAGCATGGTGAACCTTCTCTGGGCTGCCTCCAATGCCAGCATATTTTTCTTTAGATACGGGGGCCAAAACTGTTCATGTATTCTAGATATGGACTAGTGCCTTGTATAATTTTGACAAGAGTTCCCTATTTTTAAACTCAATTCCCTTTGATATAAAGGCTAACATTGCATTTGCTTTCCCTATGACTTTCTGAAATTGTTTGCCAGCTTTTTGTGAATCATGCACAAGGACCCCAAAATCCCTCTGTGCTACAGCTTTCAGCCTTTCTACAATTAAATAATACTTTGCTCCTGTATTCTTCCCACCAAAGTGCATAACCTCACATTTTCCTCTTTTATGTCCTATCTGCCAAGTTCTTCGTCCACTCGCTTAACCTGTCTATATATTCCTGTGCAGACTCTGTGTCCTCTTCTCTGCCTACAAGTTTGGCCATGATATATTCACTTTTATCAACCAAGTCATTGATATATTTTATGAATAATCGTGGCCCTAGCACTGATCTCTGTGGCACTCTGTTAGTTAAGGCGATCATCCTTAAAATGCCCTTTTTGCCACAATATGTCTTTTATTAGTTAGCCAATCCTCTATCCATGATAATATGAAAATAATATTTAAAAAATGGAAAAGGCAGGATGATCAGATCAGCCACAGTCTCACTAAATGGCAGATGGACTCAATGGGTTGAATTGCCTACTGCTGCTCCGATGTGTTATGGTCTTATACAACTAAGTTTCAAGAAGGCTCTGAGAAGCAGAATGATTGGAAAGGACATGGCAGGTGGAATGTCATCTAAATAAGTGAGAAGTTGTCCACTTCGGTAGGAACAACAGGAGGACAGAGTGTTTCTTAACTGGTGAGAGGTTGGGAACACTTGGAGTCTAAAGGGACTGGGTATCCTTGTTCTTGGGTCTCTTAAAAGCTAGCATGCAGGTGCAACAATCAATAAGAAAGGCGTAGAGCATATTGATTGTCTTTGCAAGGGAATTAAAGTACAGAAGTTAGTATGCCTTCCTGCAATTGCATAGAGTTTTGGTGACGCTGCATCATTTTGGTTACCTTAGCTAAGGAGGAATATGATTACCATATATGACAGAGGCTCACCAGACTAATCCCTAGGACAGTCAGTTTGTTTTGTGAGGAAAGATTGACAAAACTGTCCTGTAATCTCTCATTTTGAGGAATGAGAAGTGATCTCATTCAAACATAAAATTCTTACAGGATGTGACAGGTTGGATGTGGATGGGATATTTCTACTGGCTGCTGAGTCTAAACCAAGGGGCATAATCTCAGAATAAGGGCCAGGTGTTTCAGAGTGAGAGGAGGAATTTCTTCACCCAGGGTGGTGAGTCTTTGGAATTTGAGATTTTTGGAAGCTGTAACATGAATATGTTCAAAGCAGGAGATCAGTCAATTCCCAGAAACTAATGACATCAAGGGACATGGAGATGTAGGTCTCTAAGGTTTTGGAGTTGATCTGTAGCTCGGGTTGTGGGTGTTGAGGTTGGTTGGCTCGCCGAGCTGGTTTGTTGTTCCACAGACATTTCGTTACCATGCTTGGTAACATCCTCAGTGCAGCCTCTGATGAAGGGTTGGTGTGGTTTCCCGCCTGGTTTTTAAACTCTGGGGTTCGTTGCGATGGATTGCCTCACTTCTGGGTTTCCTCCGTAGTGGAATGTATATGGGGTCGAGTTCAATGTGTTTATTAATAGCATGCTTCATGGAGTGCCATGCTTCCAGGAATTCTCGTGCTTGTCTCTGCCTAGCCTGTCCCAGGATCTTGGTGTTGTCCCAGTCGAAGTCGTGGTTCTCCTTGTCCATGTGGATTGAGATGAGTGAGTATTGGTCGTGTCTTTTTGTAGCCAGTTGGTGTCCATGTACTCTTGTTGTTAGTTTCCTTCCTGTTTGTCCGATGTAGTGTTTCTCGCAGTCTCTGCAGGGCATCTTGTAGATGACATTGGTCCCGTCCATGGCAGGGAGTGGGTCTTTAGTTCAGGTGAGCACTTGTCGTAGGGTTTACATGGGCTTGTGTGCCACTCTGATGACTCATCACACTACCCTACATCAGGAGCACGTCAGAACTCCCCACAAGACTTCTACAACCGCTGGGCATCAGAGCATGCTATTAATAAACACATTGAACTCGACCCCATATACATTCCACTGCGGAGGAAACCCGGAAGTGAGGCAATCCATCGCAACGGACCCCAGAGTTTAAAAACTAGGCGGGAAAACACACCGACGCTTCATCAGAGGCTACACTGACGATGTTACCAAGCATGGTAATGAAACGTCTGCGGAACAACAAACCAGTTCGGCGAGACAACCAACCTCAATAGTGTAGGTAAGTGGCTTTGAGGTAGATGAACAGTTGCGTTGTAATTGAATGGTGGAACAGGCTGGATGGGCTGAATGGCCTACACCTTCTATTTTCCTAAGCTTCCCAACACCATGGACTCTTATTGTTTGGAGCAACCTTATGTGTGGTCCCTCACCAAATGCCTTGTAGAAATCCAAATATAATACATTTACCAGTTACCCTTTATGGGTAAAGAAGGGATTGGAGTGGGAATAGTCAATACAGCCCTTTGAGCCGATTCACCAATTAACACAATCATCGCTAATCTCATCCTGGTCTCAACTCCACTTTCCTGCCTGCTCCTCATAGCCCTTTATCCAGTTTTTCATCAATAACATACCTAATTCTTTCTTGTTATACATCTTTATCTATCTTGCTTGTTACCTCTTCTAAGGATTCTAAATTTTTTTCAGGAGTGATTTCCCTTGTCAAAACCATGCCAACTGCTTGATTATGTTATGCATTTCTAAATATTCTGCTATTACACCCTGTGTAATAGAATCTGATGGAAAATGTTAGAGCCCAACTGATGGTAGGCTAATTGGCCTATTGTTACCTTTTTTTTGGTCTCCCTCCCTTTATGAACAAGGGTGTTACATTGGCACATTTCCAGTTGTTTGGGGCTTTTTCAGAATCTAAGGATTCTTGGAAGATTACTGTTATTGCATCCACTATCTCTGTAGCTGCTTCCTTGAATATTCTAGGTTGCAAATAAGTCCAGGGGACTTATAGCCTTTAACACCATTACCTTTCCTGCTTTTCCTCTCGTGATAGTTTTTCTATTTATATTCTCCATATTTTTGTGTTTCATCTAGTATTTTTAGAAAGCCATGAATGTCCTCAACTTAGTGTGAATACTGATGCAAAATATTTATTCAACTTTTTTTTTTGTCATTTCTTGGTTCATCATTTATTCTTGTCCTCTAAGGGCCCATGTTCACTTTGGCCTTTCCATTTCTTTTTATATATTTAAAGAAGCCCTTGCTGCCCATTTTTTTTATTATTTGCTAAGTTATTGTCACAGCTTATTATAACCTCCATTGTTTAATCCATGACCTCTACTATCTAAAAGGACAAGAGGATCACACCTGGGAACACCACCATTTGCAAGTTCCTCCACCATGCATCTGCCTGATTTTGAAATACATCACTGTTCCTTTCGTGTCATTGGGTCAAAGTCCTGTAACTCCCTCCCTAACAGCATTATGAATGTCCCTAGAGCTCGGGAACTGCAGTAGTTTAGGAAAGCTGCTCACCACCACCTTCTCCAGGGCAAGTAGTGATGGGGAACAATTGCTTGTTCACATCCTATCGGAAACCAAGTTGGGGTAGACGTCGGGATGAGGAGAAAGGGCCTTTGACTTTGACTTTGTAAATACTAAAGGATGTGGAACAGATGTAGGTAAATGGAGTTGAGGGTATAGCATCGCTGTGATCCTGATTGATTGGGAAACAGGTTTCTACATTCATGAGTTCAACCACTAGAAGAGAAATCCACACCTTTTTGTTTTACTGCAAACAGGGAAGAACCTCTGGAACTTCTCAGTGATAACTCAGGAGCAGAGAGAGAGAGAGAGACAGGATAAGA